GCCTTCCTGTGTCACCACTGCTGCCACGGTTCCCGGTCCCCAATGCTTCACCTTCCCTTCTTCCCGCTGTTCCTCAGGGGCTGTCCGGGAATGTCCGGCCCAGCCTTCCCAAGTGGTCCCTCCCCGGACCCGGGCTGGCTTCTGGCCACGGCATTTGGTACCACTTGCAAGACGAGGTCACGGAGCACTGTGCCTTCGGGGTGCTGGCGTTTTCTCCCTGCCTGGTTCTTCCTGGGCTCCCGATGCAGATTCACGGGTCAGGATCAGCGCAGACCCACTGACACCTGCCCCGAGTGAGCAGGGCCCCTCCCTAGTCAGACCCTGGCCGACACCTTCCCCGGAGCCTCCTGAGACCTCAAAGCTGAGGGTCCTGGTAAGATGGGCCAGGGTCCCAACCGCTGGCACTGTGTGTCACAATGCTCATTGTTCTAGTTTGGGGGTAGTTTGTCACCCGGCATAGGTAACCTGTCCACCTGGCCTGCGCCCCAGAGGGTCGGGTGGCACTGCCACCTGTGTCACTGCCGTCCTGGTGTGAGCTGCAAGTCTGCCTGGGCACCAGTCTCCTGTCCTGAGGACACAGCCCTGGCTCTGACCTGGTGGACAGGTCCCAGGCACCGTGCAGAGTGCATCACCAACGGTGCTTCGTGCAGTTTGGGTGAAAAGTAGGTGCACAGGGGCCCGATGGTGCTGGGCTGATAACCAGGCTCACCAACAGCAGTCACACCAGGCTGTGTGACCTCCTGACCTGTGGTGTAGACACTGCCAGCATGGGCCGCGTGGGGTCCCGGCTCCCACACGCTGCTGTGAATTTTTCCCCGCCTGTCACCATGGTGAGTTTTGCCCCAGCAGCTCTTTGGAAAAGGGCAGCGTCACCTCTGAGACCTCCAGTGAGGATGCGGAGAGCAGCAGGGAGTATCCAGCCGCCCCTGGTGTGGCCAGACTGGGTCTAACCTGGCAGTGAACTGGTCTGGAATCCGGAAGGGAGCCAACCCCAGGATTCACTGTTTTGCTGAGATTCAGACCCAGGACAAACGGGGCTTCCTCCACAGGAATGGCTCACCTCTGTCTCCTGGGTCCTCCTCTGCTCCCGACCGAAGAACTATTTACACACATAGACTCACTGCTAATTAACAGGTTCGCTTTCATTTGTGTAATCAACACTAATCTTGTGGGTTAATTAGGCTTTATGCACGTTCGATATTCAGGCGATTTAACTTGGCCTCTAAGCTCCTGCCTGTAAGAAGGGACACACGCACACATTTTGTTGCAGAAATCTTGGAGAGAAATACACGGAGACACAGAATTCGGATAAAATAATAAAATTTCTTCTCATGAGCAGGCGGAACACCAGAAACCAGTCTGGTCAGTATCCTCACCCTCTTTGTTCAGCATTTCCCTTTTTATATCCTTTTTAGCCATTATCTCATCCCTAGTGGTCTTTGATGTGTAAATACAATTCCAGTTCCTATTTACAAGTCACAGACACAAGATAGGCCATATACATTGTAAATTGGCCCTGGCATGGTAACTTTGTTAGGTTAATGAAGTTACTGGTTAGAGAGTCAGATAATCCTCACCTTAAACAAGGAGTTATGGGAAAAGCAAATCTTAAAAGAACACATTACTTATTTTGCTTCTATAACTACCTTGATATTCAATCTATTAAGTTATCTAAAGCTTTTCTGTATCAATTTCTTTCTGGCCAAGTTTCCACCAGGTCAGAGGTCGGACGCCCACCTCCTGTCCTAACTGCACTCCCAGATGTACTAAAAATCCTCCTTGGGTTCATGATTGTGTTGGCTGAGCTGCGATCCGAAGCTGCCCAGGATGCCTGGTGCTTCTCCTGGATACACCCTGGAGGAGTCCAGCTGGCTCAGTCACTGTCTCATTGCTGGGACAAAATACTCAACACCCACAACTTAAAGGGAACAGGCTTACGTGCGCTCTTGGCATTTAGAGAATTTGGCTGCTTTCAGCTGGCTCCAGGGCCGAGGTAGCATGGTAGAAGGTATGGCGCAGGGAGGCAGCTCCCCTCAGTGGTCAGTGCCAGGCCGGACCTAAAACAATGGGACCAAGCAAACAGGCTGCTCCCAGCAAATGACAGCAGCTTCTCAGTAAAGAGTCTAAATGGACTCAAAATGAAGTATACAACTCCCCTAGCACTGAAAAGTTCAGTAACTGTCTGCACACCTGAGCAGCCCGTCCTTGGGCATCCGAGTCATAACCATGTCCCCCCAGGTTCCTTAGGCCCTTCGATACTGGCATAAGCCTGACTCCTTTCCCAGGTAGCTGCTAATCTCTCTCTCCTGGTGTCAGCCATCCTCTCACTGATGAACTCTCTCCCAGCTGGCTGCTGAAGCTCCAGATTTTAGTCCCTGTTAGCTGGAATAAACTTTCCTTTCAAAAGCCTATTTTTGACAAGTGGATTCTTTATAATAGGAAGCACAGTGGGAGGGAGGAGGAGGGAACAAGAGAACACCTTCCAGGCCACAGCCCAGCGACCACTGCAACCTGGCCCTGCCTACTCACAGCTCGCTCAGGCCGCTCGGTGTAGCATCCCGGTGATCCAGTCACCATCCAAACTCAGGAGGCTTTCGGGGGACACCCAGATCTAAACCATAACATGTGCGGGGCACCCTGTGGCTAAAAGAACAAGAGTATTTACAAACAAAGTGGAGAGGTAGAAGATTTTCCCTTCCTTCCTGCCCTCCTCCCTTTCTCTTTCCTTCCTTCCTTCCTTCCTCTTGTCTTGGGGCAGCTTTGTAACATTCACTGAAGACAGTGTGTCCAATAATCACACCAGGAAAACACAATGACAGAATGTATGAAGAGCCCTAAACATGATCTTACTTTTTGATATTAAGAAACCAACAGTGGGAACTGTAGCACATACTGAAACATTGCACTGAGCACCATTGATATGTAAAGTTCATATTTATTAATCAAACATAGAAAAGAAATATAGATACTAGAAAGCACTAGCCTTACTGATTTTAGATCATCTTACCTTGTGAAATTCAACAGCTAAGGGGAAATGCCGTCAGTTTTCATGGATAATGTTTTATTACGCTAATCACAATTGGAAAGTTCCAGAGCAGCAGCAAGGACACTAAACTTAGAGGTTTAGAGCCAGTCTTTGTAATAAAGAAGTGCTATGCCATTCAGCTTGCAAATTATTTTTCTCTCCTCACTACGCAATCTTATCCAAACTAACATACGGAACGAACAGGCTTTATTCCACGAGAAAACACAGAACGCCAATCTGAATGCATTTTTAGGAAAACCTGAAGTTGGCCTGAGCTCCAGCAGCCTCTCCATGCAGGGCCATCTTTAGGCCAGCAGAGGGGACGCACAGCATGTGGCAGTGACTCTCAGACACTTCGGGAAAACCACGAGGATAGAGGATGAAGAGCCTGTGATCTTATCCCTGGCCCATCCCCTGCTGAAGTGGAAAGCACAGAAAAGCACCAAGGCCTGGGCCTAACCCAGCTCTTCTCCCTGCAAGTCTGAGATCACTGAGATACTGGCAACGAAGTTACTCTCACGATTTCGGAGACAGCTGCAGCACTTCGGAGCTGTCTCACTCCAGAACCCAGAGCGGCGCCCAGATGTCTGCCGTCAGTGCCCTCCGCCTGCAGTCACCTTGGATTCCAGGAACAGCAAGCCCCACAGGCGGATCACCCGTGATGACATCACCCTAATGGGAGCAGTTATCCCATGACTGGAATGGGTCATCCCCTCCCCACAGGCAGGAGCGGTCCTCTCCTGGGAACTGGATTGTCCCCACCTCTGCAGCAATAGGGACTTCGCTGCAGCCACTTTGTAGAACTGGAACTGAGATCATCATCGGCCAGACCCTACCGAAGACCATCAGCCTAGGAAAAGCTGGCCCTTCTGTGTCTCCTCTCCTGGAGGTTGCCCCTCCCCATTATGCTTTGCTGGAGCCTGCTTGTTCCTCCATTTTGGTGTTCCTTTCTGTTACCTCCGGGCCAGTAGGTCCCATGTCCAGTATCACTTCCAGGCAGAATTGCAATAACAAAAAAAAAAAATCCTTCTATTTCCACAGTAGAATTGGACATTAGACTTGCAATGAAAAAAGGCCACTTTCATTTTCTTTTTCCAAGTGAAGTAGAGAAAGATTTCCATGGAACCAGTGTCATGCCCTGCATCATGTTATACAATGGTAAAACACGGGAGGAACCTCAAGTGTTCAAATGTACCGCATATTCACATGGTGGCATGTACAAGGGTGGACTGCTGCACAGGCATTAAAATTGTTTCAAAGAAATAGTGATAGTCAAGAGAAAATGTTTCCAATACAAGTAAAAATATAAAAAAGAAAATCTTAAAATCTGTACGTTTATTATGATTCCGAATTCGTAAAGTGAGTAAAGCCACCATACTTCTGGCATACACGGAGGTTAGGTATGTGGGAGCCGTCGGCAGCCACGAGCCAGCCCATTACCAGTGTGCTTGATAAGAAGGGTGCTGGTATGTGGGCTTTTCTTTTTCTCCCATCACTGAGTTTTCTAAACATGTGTGCTTTTATAATCAGGACACCATGATTTCAAATAATAATCCTCGAAGTCCATGCAGAGTCATGCAGCACGCCCTTATTTTGCTATCACTACCGATCGTCGGCACCTTTATGAAATTTCTTCTCACAAGACATGGACCTGACCCTTTGTGCAGAGAGCAGCACCTCATAACGGTGTGCTTGACACTCCAGAGAGGGCAAAGCCCGAGAGGAAGTGAGTTGGGAAGAGGCAGCCCTGGCGCAGTGGGGATCACAGACCTCGGAACCTGTGTAGAGCTGTGGCCTGCGCAGAGGGGGCAGGAGGTACCGCAGCTCCTCTGAACACCTCCAGGGGGCTTGCCTGGGCTAATCAATAGCTCTGCCAGCAGTGGAAGAGGCAAGGCTGAGCCGGGGCTGTACGCAGGACCTGGGCTCAGGATCAGGACACGTGACTGGCGCCCACCGAGGTGTTGGGGCGGCTTACCTGTTGTGTGCGCCCAGGCCCAGGCGCTGGCAGGCCACCGTGGTTGTGGCATGCTTCCCGCCATTCCCCACCTCCTGCTTCACGTCCCACTGCCGCGGCTCGCTGGTCCGTGCACTCAGGATGTTCACCCCCTTTTTCACCTTGGCTCTGCAGGGGAGATGGTGAGAAACACAACATGAGATGGGACTTTTCCAGGGTGCCAGTTCCAGACAGCAGCCCTGGTCAGATCTGGTGCATGGAGTGGTGGGTAATCTGGGGGCTGTGGATGGGAGGGGAAGTGGAGCAGGAACTGCCCAAGGCCAGGGGTCAGGGCCTTGCTGTCCAGTTCCAAGGCTGTGGACCTTCCTGAGACCAAGAGGTGGTATCGCCGAGTGCCTGATTAATCATCCTCAGTGGAGACATCAGTGTCTTGCAGGGACGTTTGGCCATGTCTGGAAATAATTTGGGCTGTCACACCTGGAAGGGGTGTGCAGTCCTTTAGTGGATACACCCGGGGATGCAGCTAAACAGCCTTTATGACCAGGACTGCCTCACAAAATAGAACACCCAGTCTGAAGTGTCAGCAATGCCAGGGTTGAGGAAGCCTGGTCTAGGCTTATACCCCAGAGCCACTACTTTCTAGCTGTGTGACTTCAGATAACTTATAACCACTCTGTGCATCCCTTTGCTCCTCTGCAAAATGAAAGGATAATAATAACCCCACTATAAAGCTACTGAAAAGCTTAAACATGTCAACACAGGCATTAGAACAGCATCAGGCATGTGACATGCTCCCAGGCACATGAACACTGGCTGTTGCCACAAGACAGTGCCCAGGCTGCTCTGGATCATGGGCCTCATTCTCGATCTGCAAAGGTTAGACAGGTCAAGGACTTCGACAAGAAGGCATGGAGCCACTCTTAGACCTGTTGCTCCCTCATGCTTGGCTTTTCTGGACCTCAGTTTGTTCACCAATAAGCTGATGAGGGACATGGTGGGCTGAGCATAAATGGATCATCTCTCTCCTAACCGTACTTACAGGCAAAGGGACCGTTTTCAAAGACATCGACACTTCCCCAGCAACAGATCTAGGACACTGGAAACCAGGTGCACTGTGGGAAAATGAATCCACAGAACTTTCTACTGCCAGACGGAAAAGCTAAGAAGCAGGATGATTTATACACCAAGTTCTCCTTCTCAGGAATTAGGGTACCAGGTGCCTCTAAAAGCGGGAGCAGATGAGGACTAAGGTAGAGAAGATTAGGGCTAAGTCCATTTATGTAGTGGCCAGATGCAAATATAGTTCCTTTCTTTACACAAGAGAGTGACAGCTTGGACTCCTGACCTGCCTAGGGCTACCAGGAAGAGTTGAGAATTGGGATACAAAATTGAAAACATAAGGACCCCTTGACTTATGCAGACTCAAACATTGAGATTCCTAGGTCTTTGTTCTTCAGCTGGACCTTCACTTTCTGTGTTAGTCAGCTTTTCTGTCATGGTGACAAAATACCTGAGAAAATCAATTTAAGAGAGGACAGATTTATTTTGGCCCATGGTTTCAGTCATGGTCACTTGTCTGTGTTGTTTCTGTTGTTGAGGGAGAACATCATGGTGGAAGATGTGGTGGAGAAATCTGCCACCTCACAGTGGCTGGGAAAAGAAGAGGGGGAAGGGAAGGAGTAGGGGGTCTCCATATAACCTTCAAAACCATGACTCCAGTGGCCTACTTCCTCTAACTATACCTCATCTCTGAAAAGTCCCACCATCTCCCAACAGTACGTCCAGCTGGGAGCCATATCATTATCATGAACCTTAGGGGCCATTTACCACGTGCTTCCTGCTATGACATTCTGCCTCACACAGGCTGAGAAACAATGGGGCCTAGTGACCATGGCCTGAACCCTCTGAAGCCATAAGACAAAATAAGTCTTCTACCTTTGTTTATTTCTTCAGGTGTTGCGTTGCAGCAACAGAAAACTGGCTAATACAGAAACTATTAGAGGGGTTGCTGCTATGACTGTCCCTGACAACGTGATTAAGAAACCTCTGGAATTGGACTGCAGTAGGAACATAGAAAAGGTAATAGGAACAGGCTAGAGAAGCCCTAGAATTGTGTAAGTAGGCCTTAATCGGCAAGTCAAGTCAGATCTTTAAGACCAGAATGATGATAGGATTTCAGACAGTAAAGGCCAGGCTCAGGAGGTTTTAGATGGCAATGAGGACTCTAGTAGGAATTGGACTAGAGGCCATGTGTGTTACAATCTGGTAAAGAATGTGTCTGTGCTTTGTTCATGCTCTGAGGCTTAGTTTAAGGTGATAGATGGGTAGAATTATCTGGTGGAGGAAATTTTAATGCAGTAAGCATTCAGACTAGCTGCTTTTAGCCAGGTTTAGAATAAAAACTGGGAACAAAAAGCAGAGAAGGATTTGAAATATTGCTGTTTAGCCAGAAATAAATCTCCTGTAAAACTGAGGTTAGAAGGCTTGGTTGCTGAAATGATTCATGCTATTAAAAAGAAGTCAAGTACTTTGCATGTGGGCAGTCAGAAAGATGCTTTGAAGGCATCTCAGGAATTGGCCAAGGGTGTAAAAGTGGGAATTCCTTGTCAGTTACTTGTTGCTAGGTAAAAATATCTGACACCCACAAATTAAGGGAGGAAAGATTTATTTTAGCTCACAGTTTGTAGAGTTTCAGTCCATAGTTGGCTAGCTCCAAGGCAGGGCAGTATGGCAGAGGGGCATCGCAGAGAAGAAACAGTCCATGGGATGGCAAGCAGGAAGCAGCACTTGATCAGGGAGGAGGAGGGATAGTCCATGCCCATGCCTTTCCCCATCAGGTTTCACTTTCCAGATGACACAGCTATCAGCTCACTGATGGACTAATCCAGTATCCCACATCCATGTTGCAATCGCTTCCCCAAATCCCCTCCTATGAGTGTATGAGGCTTTGTCGAGGGGGATATCTAGATATAAGCCATGGCCCTCTTTTAAAGACTTCACTTCAAAAAAAGAATACGTCTCCTTGCAAAGGGCTGCTTTGTTTATCCAGGATTTGTTTCATTGTGCTCAGTCATCCAGAAGTCACTGCAGCCACAGCTCGAGGGGGTCTAGCTACTGCTCAAGCTAGTGGCAGACTTTGGTGTTGCCCACATGATGCTGGTTTTGCAGCCATGCAGGATATAAGAGTTGTAGGATCATGAGGGCTTCCACCCAGATTTGAAAAGAAGGCCTGAGAGGCTAGGCAGTGTGTGGCAGGGTCAGAGACCCCAGTGAAAGCCCCAGAGAGGACAATTTATACAGTTGTGAGAGGGAAGCCAAAGCTGCAATGCAGACTTTAGGAGTTACAGGTGCCAGGAATGTGGACTATTTGCCCAGGAAAGCTGCAGGCAGCAAGTAGAGCCAGCCTAAGAGAGAGGCAATGTGGGCTGCAACTAGCAAGGCCATAGGAGTGGGGCTGGCTGATTCCTTTGGAGCTCACACTTCACCACGGTGTGCCTTGGGTGCCAAATATGGAGCTTCAGGATTTAATATTTGTCCTACTGAGTTTTGATTTTGCTTTGGTCTGGTCTTTCCTTTCTAGCTCTCTACTCCTCCCTTTTGGAATAGGAATGTTTACGCTGTGCATGTTGAAAGTACACAGTGTTTTTCCTCATTTTTGCAGGAACTCAAATCTAAGACTCATCTTGAGTCTCAGAGGAGACTTTGGACTTGGGCTTTGGAGCAATGCCGCAACTGTGAAGAGCTTGGCAACTCTTGGAGGTGGATTTGATGCCTTTGGGGTCTAGGTGTGGAAAGTTCCAGTTCAGACCTAAAATATCCTCTCTAAGCCTGTGTGTTGAAGGTGTGGTTCTTGCCAGTGCCACTACTGGGGGATGACAGAACTTCAGGAGGTATAGCTTGTCTGGAAGCGGGTCACTGAGGGTGTGCCTGTGAGGGATATTCAGGACCTTGACCCCTTGCTCATTCTTTTGCTTCCTGGCCACCGTGACATGAGCAGCTTTGCTCACCATGTGCTCCTGACCATGGGGCTCTCCCTCACCACGGGCCCCAAAACAGTGAGCCATGCGTCCATGGACTGAAACTTCTGACACCACGAGCCAATATGAAGCATTTTTCCTTTAAATGGATTTTCTCAAGTATTTTCTCACAGCAATAGAAAGATGACTAATATACCAACCCTAAAAATCATAGGATTTTAGACAGTTCTACTTTCCCAAAAGTAAAATATGGAACTGATGACATTGGGGTCATTTGAAAGAGTCAGGCAGACTTTCTTTCAGTGTGGCTGTGGTCATCCAGACCTAATCATGGGCATGAGTTTCTAATAGCTTTTGGCTTCTCACTAGACAGCACACAAATAAGAATAGGTAGAAACCGAGAGAAGTCCTACATGGTACAAAGGGCAAAACAGGCAAACAAGGGAGCACAGAAAAATAGAAGCTATGCAGAAAAAATAATCTCAGGCAGGTCACCCATTCACCTTTCACGGAGAGGAAAGAGCAGATATTGTAACTGTGAAGTAAGAACAGAGTGCTTTTAACAAGGAACATGCAGAGGGGAAAATGAGCCCTTCGGAAAAAAACTAATATTCACAAGCAGACCCGACCACTCAGCCTGGAGGGAACCTGACTTCCAGACAGGACCAGGGACACGGGCTCGGGGAGTCCCCCCCCCCCCCGCCCAGTGTGGCTGCAGGAGGAGGGGATGGGGGTGGGGGGACCCAGCCCAGCTCTGCCGCCCCTCAGTTACCCAGCTGTGCCTCTCCTTTACCCCCTGCCCCACACACTGAGGGTGACTGGGTCCCTATTCCTCTGGAAGATGACTCTGGGCTCAGAGGCCAGGGTAGAACGACAGATGCTGCTCCTCGGCCACGTCAGTACTGAGCGTGGCTGGACTCTGTGGCCTCCCTGCGGGTCCCTGGGGGGCTCTGCCAGGGACACAGCCTGGCACAGCGTGTGTGCGTCTGTGTGGGATGAGGGTTGTTTTAGGAACCACTTTATCCCTGGCCCTGAAGGTCGTCTGTAGAGGAACTGAACTGAACCGCAGAGCATGTGGAAAAAGTGGACCCCAGCATCCCAGAGTATGAGCTTAAATGGGGATAGGGTCTTTGTAGAAATCATCAAGTTAAAATGGGGTCACCAGGGTGCGTCTGACCCAAAATGGCCCAT